AAAGATGTTTAACATGGAGAGGGGTCCCACGTGGGTGGGTGGGCATAGTGAAAAGGAACAATAATTATCACTATGGCTCCTTACAACAGGTACATAGTCTCCTAAGGTCCTAATAATGAGCCTGTAAGTCAAGTAGGCTGGTACTATGTGCATTTTACAGAAGTGGAAAATGAGGCTCACATAATAGAGCTTGCCCAAGTTCACCCACATCTAAGTAGCAGAACTCAAATTTGAATCTAAGCCCCAGTTCTCTTTCTAATCCCACAATCCTCATTAGTCTTACGATCCAACTAAGTTAGCTAATCAAGCTCCCACTGCAAAATGGCATATTTATCATTATTTGGAATTGTTCAAAGAAAATAAATTCTTCCAAAAAATGAAATGCCATCAGTGTCAGTTCGCAATTTAATGAGCTGGCATGCACTTCAGTCACATTTGCTAATATAAATTTAGCAAAATTGAACACAAAAGTTAAATACTTGAAAGAATGAAGCAAAAAAAACCACTCTTGGGCCACTGCCCATCCGCTGCCTGCAGCCCAAGCGGGGCGCCCCGGTTTCAACAGACTTCACCAAAATGCCATCCCAAATGGAACACGCCATGGAAACCATGATGTTTACGTTTTGCAAATTTGCCAGGGACAAAGGCTACTTAACGAAGGAGGACCTACGAGTCCTCATGGAAAAGGAGTTCCCTGGGTTTCTGGAAAATCAAAAAGATCCTCTGGCTGTGGACAAAATCATGAAGGACCTGGACCAGTGCCGAGATGACAAAGTGGGCTTCCAGAGCTGCTTTTCACTAATCGCAGGCCACACCACTGCATGCAATGATTATTTTGTAGTGCACATGAAGCAGAAGGGAAAGAAGCAGGCAGACTTGAACATTTACTCCTGCCCAGATGAGAGTTCTCCCAAAGGGCCACTTACGGAATCTGCCCCTCAGTTTCCCCTTGTATAAAGATTTCATGAGCAGATCAGAACCCTTAGAAAATGTACAAATAACATCCAACTCTCATTGGATAAGCAAAGAAAGGAAAGTTAGTTAAATGCTAGACAGGCTTTTGATTTTTATATTGTTTGCATCCTCTTGCCCTCAATAAATAAAGTCTTTTTTTCAGTTCCAGAAAAAAAGAAAAAAGAAACCACTCTTGGGAGGGGGAGATCTAGTTTCAACACAACCTTATTAGATTCAATATAACTTCTGCAGCAATTCATTCAGATGGAAATCTAGCATTAGGCATATCTTTGTCTAAAATGAGGAACAAAAGGGGAATTGAACTAGGTAAAATACATTCTAGAAAAGATAGCAATAATTGGAACAAGACATTTAACAAAGGGCATTACTGTAACTTGCAATATTTCCTTAGGTCTGACACCAAGGTGTTACGGCTTGTATCTAGATGCCCGCCCCCAAAGCTTCATGGGGTCATAGGTGGGGCTTTTGGGAGGGGGCTGGATCTAGGGTGTCTGATGCTGGGTCAAGGATGTGACTCGAGGATTAAGGGTGTGAATGCTACCTGCCCTCAGGGCGCGTAGCCTGAATAAAATGCAAGAGACAGAAAGAGGTTTGCTTGTCCCTGCTGCCTTCTGCCTGACTGCTCTTTGATGCCCCTCTGCCATGCCACCCTGCCTTAGAGCCAACTGATTATGGACTGGAATCTCTATAAACTGTGAGCTAAATAAACCCTTTCCTCCTTTAACTTTGGGCATTGGGTATTTTGTCTCAGCAATGAGAAAAGCAACTAAGACACAAGGCCAAACAGAAATGAGAATATGTGCTTCTAGTACTGGCCAGGCATGTAAGGAATCCAGGCCAAATGAAATGTCAGCCAGACTTTGTGGCAAAAGCACAGGAAACCCATCGCTGCCTCTCTATTTGAATTCCCACAAGGAAAGAAGGGAAGTGGGGGACAGCTGTAAGAAGAGATAATACACAAAGAAGCTGCAGAGTAGAATCAAAATCCCTCAGCAGAATGCAGGATTTCCCCATGTCCAGAGGGGCTGTGGCCCCACGCAAAGTCCATGTCCCTAGTTAGTAGTACGGCCAAGCCTTGATAACCTCCCACATCATTAAATAGCAGAACTGGGACTTTTGGTGACACACAGTCTTACGTGGTGACAAACGCACAAACTTTTACTCAAACACTTCAGACAAGTAGTCATCCTTCTGTGTAATGACCTCCAAGGACAGAGAACTCAGCACCCCAGGGTCTTGTTATTAACCCTGAGGCCTGCTAATTCAAAATAGCCAAAAGCATATTCTCACCACTGAAAAAGAAGCCCAACTGGTCACGGGGCTGTCCACAGGGCTTGCCAATCAAACCTTGCTACCATTCTTAAATCCCCTATCCTTGAGCTGGATCCTAAATTAGCACAATGTTAATAAATCAATGATTTTAAAAAATGGCCCTCCAAAAACCAAAAGTGTGATCTTCATACCAAGGTTTCCACAAAACAGAGCTCAGCTTGAACTGAAATGAGGTTATGGCAAAGGGAAATGTCCTAATTTTCTTTTTTCTTATTTCTGAGCCCCTTTTTTCGATCTGATATAATATACATAGACAAAGATATATAGATATGATCAATGCGGTTTTGTAAAACTCTTCTGACAAAAAAAGAAGGGATCATTTTACAGGTAAATAAACTAGGATCATAACACTTGCTTTAAAACTTGCTTAGTTACAGTTGCAGGGTTGAGTCAACAATGTAGTCTCTTGGGCTTCTCTAGTGGTTCCACAAACCAAGTGACATGTGCCTATAGGCAAAGTTCAAAATTCGTGGAGTGATTTACAAGGCCCTTCAAGATCGCCCTAGGCCTGACATTCCACTCCAACTTACTTCTAAGTGTCCCACATTCCAGCCACAGTCAAAAGTTTTTTAAACCAACTTAGGTCAAACTGTTATCTACTTTTGTGCATACTAACCTTTTGGCCTGAGATGTCCTTCCCCATTTTATCTAGACAAGAACCAACTCGTCCTCTTCCAGGATTTATTTCAGGCACCGTGACCCCTATAAAGCCTTTCCAGGCCCTCAACTAGAAATGACTACATTCTCCTTTGTGCCCTACACAACACCTGCAAGGCTTATTGCATTATTTTCCTTCTCCTCCACCAATAATTTCATATTGTGTTACTATGAGACAGTAACAATTAAAAACTGGGTGCTTATGGCCCGGGGATTTAGCTCAGTGGTTTCTGCCGCAAGTGCAAGGACCTGAGTTCAATCCCCGGTACACCCCCCCCCCCCCGGCCCCGCCAAAAAAGTGGGTGCTTAAATAGATGTTTATCAGTGGACTGTATTTGTCTGATCCAATCCCCTTTCTGGTGCTTGAATATCCTCTGTAAATAGCCATTCATTAGTTCATCCACACATACATTCATCCAAAAATATGAGTGTTTAAAAAGTGTCCTGTGTGTCAAGCAGAGGTGGATTTACTGTGAAATTAATTAATGAAGCGTAAGCTTCAGGAGACGCATCTTTCAAAGCCCTGAATCTTCTTGTGTGATTTTGCATTTTCATTTCTTAAAAAGTAGTGACTCGCCTGAGTTTTACGCCCCACAGAAACTACGCCCACTCTTAGTCTGTAAAATACCAAAATATGCAAGGTACACTTCTCTCTCCCTTATGGAGTCTCATGTTTAGGGTGGAAAACAGACAACCATATTTCTTCACTCATTCATTGAATAATGCTTTTCTAAGCAATGCTATGAGTCATGCACTCTGAGATGAAGCCAGCACTGCTCCTGTCCTTAAGGAGGAGACAACCAAAGCCTGCTGTCTTCATGGAGCAGAAAGCAGTTTAGGGGACTGTTATGGCTTGTGTTTAGAGGTCCCCCAAAGCCTGTGGTCATAGGTGGGGCTTTGAAGATGTGGCTGGAGCCAGAGTGTGTGACACTGGCATTGATTCATGGTGCAATGCTAGCCTCAAGGGCACTAGGATTAAGGGTGTGAGTGCTGCCCGCCCTAAGTAGTCTGGAGAAGATAAAAGGGGCAGAGAGACGCTGTTAAGGTCCCTTGTTGCTTTTGCTACCTTCAGCCTGTCTGCCATGCCACCTTGCCTCGAAGCCAGCCGATTATGGACTGAAACCTTTACAAACTGAGCTAAAGAAACCTTTCCCCCTTCAATTTTGCGTGTCGGTATTTTGACTCAGCAACGACAATGGTAATACATAGTGTGAAAAATCTTAACCTCATCTCGGGAGGTACTGAGTCCCCTGTTTTGCCTAAGGAGACAAAAGGAAGGGAGAGTTGGGTGAACCTGGATTTTGAACTCAGTAAGTGGCGGGAAGGGGGCAAACAAGTAAACTGAACAAGCAAATGAAGAGCTAGAACAGTAAGAAAGGGGCTGGGGAAGTTTCCCCAGGGTTCAAGTCTGCAGTGACGGCGAGGTCATTACCTAACAAAGTCACTCATGAATTTCACGGAAGATTTCCGAGCGCCTCCTTCCCTTCAGAAGAAATCTGCTTCCCACTTTCCCAATACGTGTCCCCTTTCTCAAAATAAGCCTGTTCTTTTTCCTAGCCAGCTGTTGGCTGAGGCCAAATCTGCTGTTCCCCTTGGGACAACTTCACACAACGCTCTCAGGACAGAGACTCGGGTGGGTCATCGCGGATCCGCCCCCCTCGCTAGCGCCCCGTTCCCATAGCAACCAGCTCACCACTTCTCGGGCTCGGCTGGAGAAGTCGCCCTTGGGCCGGGGGCTCCGGCGGAACAGCTCGTCCCGGTTGCCATCGACCCCGCCGCCCACCGCCACTCCCAGCGCCTTGTTCCGCGTCTTCACGGTCTTGACGCTAGCCCGAAACAGCAGAGTGATATCCACCGCCATAGCGAACCGGCCCCACGACCCCACAATGGCCGGCCTACGTCAGCAGCCGGCGACCACAGCGCGGACCCGGCAGCCGCAGCACTGTTCCGGCTCAGCACACCTCCGCCCGGCAACGGCGAAGGGAGAAGAAAGGTTCCGGCCCCGCCGAGACACTGCCGCGAGAGGAGAAAGGTTCCGCCCTCAGCCAGCGCGCCGCGGACGTTGGCCTCTGCGACGCATCCACGGGCGCCTTTTCTTCTGCCCGCAAACCTCCGCCCGGAGCAAACCGTTCCCGGGCTCTTGTGTACCCGCGGACGAGAGGACGGGGAAGGCGTCAGGCTTGCTCCCTCGGGGAGGCTCTCTGACTGTGTGGGCCGGGGCGTTTTGGCGGGAATGCGGAGGCGACTCCCTGACCTTTGCCTGCAAGGACTCACCTTGCGCAGGACCAGGAAGGGGCAGTGGACGAGGCCCTGCTGGGCGCCCTCACTGCTGACAGAGACAGCGGCCAGAGGCCTGAATCTCCGACCTCAGCCACTCCTGTGGAGTGAAGCCAGCGCTTTCCGCGGAGTTTACTAAGACTTCATTCAGAAGACGCCTGTAGTGTTCTGCCTTGGCCTGGCTTCTAGTAAGTGGTCAGTGAATGCTAGCTGCCGCTGATGATGGGATCATTATCGGTCTTATTAGTAAGGGTGGAGAGGAGGCTGGAGAAGGAATCTGAGCGGGGAGTTGATGGAGGAGTACCAGTTTGTCAGGTGCAGACAGATGTGGGAACCACGTTGCTGTATGGTCGCCTTTTATGTGTGTTTTCAAATGTACCAGCTTGAGCTTGAGCCATAGTTAAATTGACTACACTTCAGCGATGAGGTTTTTCTGTACTTTTGGATCATGGTTCAGTTTTAACTCAAGATCGTATTGGAGTTCAAGTATTTTTCCCCCTTTTGTTTCCTTAAGGAGACATAGCTAGAATTGTAGAACAATAGTTTTAATGGTCACCAAGATAAAAAGTTACTTTCATAATACTATGCTGTTTACCTTTTCACTCTCATTTTCTCATGAGTTGTATAGTTGAGTTTTCCAGAGACTCTGATCTTACAACAAACTAAACGTGGAGCAGCTGACTTCTATTAAGCTTAACTTTCAAGAAACAAAACAATATAAATGCCATTCTTCTTACTAGTTTTGATGTTTGGGAAAATGCATTTTTTATAAAAAGATGTCATCAGTGTTATTCTGCACATACTAGACTTATCCTTGTTATTTTTAGATAACAAGGCTTTAAGCTTTTTGTTTTATTTTAATATGGTAAGTATTGATAGATAAAATCCACATAAACAAAATTTTCGGGCCTTGACTAATTTTTAAAAGTATAAAGGCCTCAAAAATAAATAAATAAAATAAATTGTAAAAAAAGTATACAGGCCTTCAAAATTTGTAGAACCACTGTGTTAAAGAAGTAAATTTGTAAGAAATAAAGTGGTTCCTCGGCTCATGAACTTAATTCTTTCACCAGAATCATGGAATGAATTCTGTGACCAGAAGCGTGGAAAGAAATTTGTGAACCGAGGTACCACTGTAGATGTTAAAAAATATATACATGTACCAAAAAGGAGGAAGGGAAAGATTATTGAAAATCCAGATTGTAGCCACTTCATCTTTCTTGCATGAGGAAAATAAATTTCCATACAGCTTTCTTCCACCTGTGGAGGACCAGAGAAAGAAAAACAAATTACAAATCCTCTGCCAAAGATTCTGCCTCTCATATATGTCTTTGTTTTATGGAGACATTAATGTGTCTAGGGCTAGGCGAAGTAAGCCTGAGGCAGAGTAGGAGGAGAGTTAAATGGTTGCGAATAATAAAGTCAGGGGGATTGCCTTAGGTGAAAGGAGTCAGAACCTAAGGAGGGGCCGGAAAAATAGTGAGTAGTTGGGAGAGATTTTGAGTGGGAAGGAGGCAGAACTACATCAAAACTCCTGTGAAGGCCGGGGATTTAGCTCAGTGGTTCCGCTGCCTGCCTCAGAAGCAGAAGGACCAGAGTTCCATCCCCAGTACCAAAAAACCTAGACCAAAACAAAACAAAAAAACTCCCGTGAATGGTGTTTGGTGCAGCGTTTTGGGCGGGTAGAAAAGCAAGGTCAAACATCTCTAAGTTTTCTGTCCAAATCTGTAAGAATGGAAGATTGTGGTGGAGTTGAGACCCCAGTGAGCTCAAAACATCAAGCTCTAAAGCCACAAGTGACCACAGGTACATAAAATCCCTAGAAAAGTCACAAAGAAAAGGCCCTTTCGCCTGACCTGATGGCTTGTTTAGTCCTTTTGATTTCTCCTACCCTGTAATAAGCCAAATGTTGGCCCCTTAAGCTCTATGTCCACATCCAGATTCCTAGAACCAGTAAATGTGAACTTACTTGGAAAACAGGTCTTTGCAGATTTAATTAAGTTAAGGATCGTGAGATGAGCAGATGACCCTGGGTCGCCTATGTGGACCCAGAGAGGTTCACAGACAGATGCAGCCACCAGAAGCTGGAAGAGGCAAAGGATGAGTCTCCCTCTAAGGCCTCTGAAGGAAGTACGTCCCTGCCAACACTTTGATCTTATACTTCTACCCTCCAGGACTATGAGAAATAAATTTCGGTTTTAAGTCACAGAGTTTGTTGTCTCTGTTCCTGGGAAACATACATACCACAGTTCTCTTCCCCTCCTATTCTCCTGCCATCACATAGTCCCCATTTTCTTGGCCTGTCTTCTTCAAGTTGATTCTCTCCTGGTCCTCTGTCTCTGTTTGGGCACTGATTCCCTCTAGATAAGTCAGCTGCAGCTGCCTTGGGTCTGTGTCTTTCTTGATATTAATGAAACCCCACCCTTGTGTTCTTTCCTTCCCCCATCTCTTTGCTCTCCTCATCACCTTCTGTCCTTGGGGAATCACACCTGACTGTATCCCTCATTCTCCAAGGAAGGGTGGAGACCAGATGAACTGAATCCTGCCAGAAAAGATGCCAGTAAGGCTCTTCTCATCAGATTTGCAGTGAAAAGGACGTCCGGTGGCCATTGTCATGTGACACATGCTTCCCTCTCAGCATGGACTTGGAGAGGGTGGAGGTAGTCAGCTCTTGTTTCCGGGTGTTCTAAAGACTACATGCAAAAGGGGTGAGCACGCGTTTGGGGGCTCTGGCAGCAGCTTGTGGCATCTGGAGTGGTCTTTGTCAATGTGGAAAGGTACTCCACTCTGAGAAGTTCCGATGAGTGCAAAGAAAGAAAGCGGACCCCTGCCACATAGCCAAATCTGTCCTGTGGGTCAGGTAACAAGGTGCCATCAGAACAGAGTGATCAGCGAGCAATACAAACCCAAGGAAGCGCGCATGGGCAAGTGAACACAGAGCTACTCATCGAGAATCTCAACACAGAGACGAAACAGGTCCCGTGCTCTTAAGGGTTCTTTTGTCAGGCTGTGTCCGTGTGACTAAGTTTCAAGAGATAGAGTTGCAAAGAGCAAAATTGGTGGGGCATCATATGTGGTTTGAATTCTGCCAGTCATATTTCAAGTGACCGCCACAGAGAGCATGACTTATTCAGGAAATTATCTTTGCTGATTGTCCTATGGGAAGACAAAGGGTGTATATGTGTGCAGGGAGACACAAAGGTCAACTGGTTCTCAGTGCGTGGTGTTTCCCACCATCAGCAGTGGTTTTGGGATGGTCCCCCCACCTTCTTCCCGGGAGTTTACTGTTATCTCCTGCTCCAAATACATCGGCAGGAGTGCCAAACTCAGGGAGGGCAGAGGCTCACTGTGACATGCACACAGCTTGGTACAACGTGAGGGCCCAGCTCTGCAGACAGACACCTCTCACAGGAAGGGCCCCTGGCATCACTTACTCTCAATCTGCAGGTGGTCTTCAGCTCCCTGTCTTAATCACTTTCTTGTCATGGAGACATGATGCCCAGCACCCACAATTTAAAGGAGGGGTTTATTTTGCCTTACAGTTTGTAGAGGGTTCAGTCCACCATCAGCCGGCTCCAAGGCAGAATGGCAGGGTGGAAGGGCATGGGCAGAGGTGAGCTGCTCACCTCATGGCATCCAGGAAGCAGAGAGAAAAAGGAGGAGCCAGGGAGGGAGATAAACCCTTCCAGGCCACATCCCCAGTGACCACTTCTTCCAATCAGACCCCACCTCCTAACAACAAACCAGCTGTTGGCCCCCAAAATTCAATCACCTTCCAAAAGGCCCACCTGAGTGCATGAGGATCTTGGGGGACATCTGGATATAAACCATAACACTTCTCAAATGTTCAAGGAGAACGTCCCACAGATGTGGACACTAGCAGAAGGCTTCTAAAGAGAGCAGAGGAAGTCATTGCTTTGTCATCCCCCATCCTGTATGTGGCCTTTGGACCCTGGACACCAAATGACCAAGCCAGCCCCAAGTAGATCACAACCCACTTTTCTCTTTGGACACTGGTGACCCTAAGTTTTATTTACCTAAGAAATTTTTGTAGGGTATCTAAGCGACACTTAACAAGTCTTTGTACTCTTTCTGGTTAGGAGAAATCTAGGAAGCAATTACTAGAGGAATTACTAATAAAGAGGAAAAGTCACACACAGACATCCACCCAAGTGGAAGCACTTGGGTTTGAATACCAGGTTTCCTATGCACTCTTATGACTCTGGGCAGATTACTTCACTTCTCAGAGCCTCATCTGAAAAATGCAGGAATACCATTAACTGCTTCTGATTTGTGTGTGCAGGGATTTCCCCCAAACACCCTTCACACCCTCCTGAGGAAGAAATCTGGTTGTTGAACAGCACCAACCAGTCTGCATTTTTCTACTGTTAGAACCCATTCTGTTGTAGTCAGAGTTTACTAGAGTCAGTGGTTTGCAAAGGAACAGATTTAATACCGGACACATAATTTATAATTATTTTATAGTGTTCACCCAAAAAGTCAAATGCCGAAGAGTGCAAGAGATCGGTCTGCTCACTGGAGAGCTGAAGAATCCAGCTGAGAGCCTGGATCCCATGGCAGTGTCCTGTATGAGTACAGCCGAAAGCCTGGAGCCCACGGCAACGTCCTCTATGAGTCCAAATCAGAAGGCTGAGGAGTCTGATGGAAGACTGAAGGTCTGCACCAGAAAGCCCGGGGGCCAGTGCTGAAGGCTGGAAAGTCTGCCCCGGGTACCAGCAGATGACGGCCAGGTGAAGGCGAAGACCGGACCTCCTCAGAGAACAGCGGCCAAAGCTCAGCAGTCTCTGCTCTTCCCAGGTGATATGCTGTTTGGAGTCTCGGGCAGGCCCTTATAGGTGAATTGCAGCCAATGCCTCCAGGATACTGAAGAAGGCCATTCCAATGAAAATCAGCATTAAATCCTCCCCTCCTAGTCTCCTTTTATTTCTGTTCTGACCACAATCCTCAGGTGGGTCTTCTACACCCAGAACCATGCTGACTATTCAGTGGGCCTTCCTACTCAGGTTGACCATTCATGAATCCACCATACACTCTGTCAACAATTGTGAGTGAAAACTTTCTGCCGCTGAGCTACATTGCCAACCTTTTAGTAAAAACTTTTTCAAAATTTGAGACAAGGTCTCCATAAGTGTCCAGGCTGGCCTTGAACTTGCAGTCCTCCAGCCTC